TGTTTTTTTTTTTTGCCACATTTGGGCAGGCAAAATGAAATCGGCTTTTTGGAAAACCTGTGAAGAACTTGTTGTCTACAGTGGGTTAGAACGAAACTTAATATGAGTGGCGAGTTAGTATAGATATATATACATATAATTATATATATATATATACATATGTAAATATTAAATATGTGTGTTAACGTGTCGCAACTGAGAGATATTAGATAGTCGGCCTACGCCCACGTTCATCAGCAGATGTGGGCAATTTATCTACCAAAAATTTACGCAGTTTCATTATGGCCAAAAATTTATGCATATTCCAAATAGAATTTCCATAAAACTAAGTTTTTATGCTTTTCTGCAGAAAGTGGCTTTTGTTAAAGATTTGCGGTTAATTTGGGGCGGCGGCGAGTCTGTCAAAGATTGACCAAAATTGAAAAAAACACAAGAAAATATTGCAATATTTCCAAAAATAAGCGTAAACAATTTACAGAGCGACCGAGAGAGACAGAGAAAGAAAAATACACAATCAATATATAAATATATATGTTCAGATATAAGACATTAAATAAAATAGCCACGAAAAACATCAACAACAATTTTTAAATCATACAAAAGCAAAAAAAAAAGCAAGAAAAAAGCAGAACCAAGTTTTTTTTCTTTGCCAGCGCACACGACGGTGACAGCGACGACGGCAGCGGGGCAGCGTCGCTGGCAGCGCAGGCCTCCATTCATTATAAACGGTTTCATTCATAAAAACGACTCTTGGCGGAGTGAGTGAGAGCGAGCTGTTTCGGAATTCGCCGCACTTGACGCGCTCTTTGACTCGTTTCAAATTCGCTCGACTCGTTCAAATTCGCTGTCGCTGTCGTACAGTGATTTTCGCTCGCGCTAAAAACGAGTTGAGTCTTGTGGCATTGGAGAGGAAGTTTCGAGTGTCGACGACTGTCTGTTGTGTGTGTGTGTGTGAGTAAATACAGCGATACATACATACATCTATACATATGTATATGTTTAGCAAGCCATTTTGATACTATGCCATATAATAAATGTATATACATATATACATATATATTTATATATATATCTACATATGTATTTATGCATGCTTTTTTCGCTTCCTTCTGCCCTGGAAAGTTCATGCTAATCTCTGGCACCCAATAGTCTGTGTCCCAAGCTAGCATGTATGTATGTATGTATTTACATGTAGTTTTTTTTTACTAGTTGTTATCTACAGTCGATCCGATTTGCCTGCCTGCCTGCCTGCTATCTCTACCCCGGTTTTGAGGCTTGGCTTATTAGACAACAAACAACTCTTCACGCTCGCTTTAACTTTTTTTTTGTCGTCGACGCTTTTGTTGTTGTTTTTCGCTGTTTTCAACGCACTTCGCAGTCGACTGCTGTTGCTGTTGTTGTTGCTGCTGTTGTTGCCACGCACTTTTTTTTAATGTTGAAGCCCAAGAAAAGTGCTACTGGTTTTGAGATTTTTATTTTAAAGTCGCTCTGCCTGCGCACAGTTTGCTGTTGTTATTGTTGTTGTTGTCGCCGCAGAGTCGTGTATTTTTCTATAGACACTGCCTGCGCAAAGCACTCGGCAACTCTGCCCGAACATCAACAACAACAGCGGCAGCAGCAGCAGCAGCAGCCCAAGCAGAAAGAGCAGAGCCAGCCAGACAACGCTGAACCAGTCGTCGTTGATGTGTTTGCCTTTCAAAATCATTCACACTCGACGCAGTTTCATTGTTGAAATTCAAGACTCCCGTCAATGGCAAGCTGAGCAAATCACATGGCAAATAAAGTGTATTATTTGCTTTATGAAAAGAGCATTCAAATGCTTACAATTTCAACTACATATAATTTATGCTTGACTAACAACGATCCTAAATTGTTTGCTTTGATGAATGATTTGTGTAATGGTCGCGCCGGTTGTTAACTTTTCTACTCGCACTATACTGCCATGACAGCAACAAAACCAACAGCAACAACACCAACAACAACAACACTGTATGCTTACCTCATGCAACATTCAGATACAGATACTTACCCGCACACACACACACACACACAATCAAACAGACAAAACACACACACACACAAACACACACACTTGGCAGCTGCAGCTATTCATGCATAGACAACAATATCGCCGTGGTTTGCTTTTGTTGTTGTTGTTTTTTGTGTAGCTACTTTCGCCTCGCTGTGTGCGTATTTTTCATTCATATTGGCAGCCAACGCGAAACAGAAACAGAAACAGGCAACGCTCATTGAGTCTGATACTATTTTATGGCCCAGCGCAAAAAAAAAAAATGTTGGTGAAAATATGCAACTAGCTGAGATTCAATTTAATACAAATAAACAAAAAAAAAACACACTCGAAAATTCGAGCTGAAAAATAAATAACTCAGGGCGAAAAATTGTGATTTGAGTGATTGGATTTGGATTCGAATTTGAAAAACACACACTCGGTGTGTGTGTGTGTGTGTTTTTGGATTCTCGCGTAGGCAGCGAGCCTAAAAATGAGTGTTTAGTGTGTGGGGTGAGGGAGGGAGGGCGGTGTGTTGGCACTGCAGGGGGTGGCGGCTTGTTATTGCTACTGCTTGTTTGCGAGCTGTTTGCTTTTAAATTTAAATGAATGAAAAAGAAAAAAAAACTGGCATGAATTTGTCGCAAGTTCCCCCCGCCGCACGCGGTGCCCCTCCCCACCTTAACAGCAGCGAGCAAGCCGAGCGAACGAGCGCGCCTACAAGTTGGCATATTTTCAATTTCCGTTTTTTTAAAAACAACAACAGCAACACACACACACACACTCACACACAGCAAAACCCCCAACACTAAAAAAACACACACATAGACACGAACACACACACACATACAGTCGCACACGGATAAAGCTGCGCAGCCCCAAAGCTTATGTTGGCGTCGGCCGAACGGCGAACGGGAGAACGGAGAACGGGCAAACGGGAGAGCGGGCAACGGCGGTGGCGGCAACGTCCGGTTGGTTTTTAGTACGAAAATTCGTCGCCGCCGTCGCCGTCGTCGTCACCGTCGTTGTCGCTTATAGCATAGGCTGGCTTCGTGCGCTTTTGAGGCCTGTAGTCGCTGCATGTGGGACAAGGGCGCTGTCAGATGGCGGGTGTGGAGGGGGTTAAGAAAGGCCGACCATGTGTTGTCGTCGCCTTACAAATGCTGTGTAGTTCAACAAAAATTTTTGCTTTGTAGTCACTCAAGCGGTGGAGTGCAGCGAATTCGCATTGAGTCAAAGAGCGAATTCGCTTTGCTCTCTCGCAAATGATCAACCACATACCAATGTATGTATAAAACTTAAACATACATAAATATATATGTATTGCACATGCCATACCCAGTCGTATTTAGCGAAACGTGTCTTTGAAAAAGTGCATTGGCTCTCAAGCATTCAAATATAATGCATATTATTTGTGCAACTGTTTTTGTGTGACATTTGTGGTCTTAAATTGAAATTAAAAATTTAGTTTTACAATTTATATTTATGATAAATTTCTGCAAAATTGATTTTACAACATTTACATCATATAACTACTCAAATAATTAAACAAACCAATGAATATATTTGGTATATTTAGTTTGCACCTTTAAAAAATTATTAATACTTAAACCTAAAATGGTGCGTAGTAAGTACTTATGTCATGCTTTCACGTACACCTGGGTTTTGAGAGCACTCACAGAGCTACACTCTCACCGCGCTCTTTTCGCCGCACACACAATTTCAGAATGAAATGGATTCGCCGTTGAAAAAATCAAACGGTTGCCAGTACGTCGCTACGAACTCGGCATTCATTTCGCTTCAAAAACTTTGAGCGTGTACACAGTGCAACGTGAACGGAGCTGAGCAGAGCGGCTGCCGCGAAGAGTAAATTTTTTTGTAGCCTGGCATTATTAAACATTCACTTCAAAACAATTTAACAACAATTCATCGCACAAAACGAACGACGACCAAGTAACCAGAGCAATAATTAAAATTCAAATATTATTTAATTAATTGTGTGCAAAATATACAAATAGTGTGAGTTTCAAAAAATAAAAACAAAATGTTTGTTTGTTAATATAAATGGAATTGCAATCGCAATTGAAAATCTATTTTGGAATTACAAATTGCTTCCAATGGAAATCATGTGCCTAAAAATGTAAATTGCGCAAAGAAAATCGACGTCTATTTAAAAGTCCAACAACAACAACAACAACAAAAGCAACAACAACAACAACGAGCACGGCAAAAATATCTAGCGAAAAAAAAACACAAAAAAATTTCAATTCAAATACAAAACGTGTTAAGCGAAAAATAAAACAACAGCAACAACGACAACAACAACAACAACAGCAACGACACACGAAATTTGTCTATATAAAATTGCATAAAAATATTTTTTACTGTAGTGTGTTTGTCGTAGCGCACAGATACAGATACAAAAAAAAAAAAGCAACACACTCACACATCTACAGCCGTCGACGTCGACGTGGCCCCCGTCAGAGTGTGCGTCCGTGTGAGCATATCTGTGTGTGTTCGTGTGCATGTCTCTGCATGAGTGTGTGTGCCGTGTCTGCCTGTGTGTGTATGTGTGTGCGTGTGTGTATGTGTGTGAGCCCGCAGTCGCTGTCAACGTAAACGCCGCCGTCGCCGTTGCCGCAAACGTTCATTATTATTATTATTATTATTGTTAATATAATAATATTTTTGGCACGCAAACCTGTAACAGTCTCGTTCGAGCGTCGCTGCCGCTGTCTCTGCCCACGTCGCTGTCGCTGCGTCGCTGTCAACGTCGCGTTTTGTGTTAATTAAATTTACTTTTGTGAATGAAATGCGAAAAAAACCAGCAAAGCGAATAAAAAATATTTTTTAATATGTACATAAATGCTAAATAAATAACACAACACAACACAACAACAGCAAAAAGCAAATCTACGCCCGTCTATTTGTATATACACATATATATACACACAACACGCACAACAAATACACCAACAGCAACACACACACGCATACATACATACATACACATACAGCGTCTGTATGTTAAATTAAATGCCGCGATCGCATCGCGACTAGAAATAAAAGCCACCTAAATTCAAGTTAAGTGCCCCCAAACTTTGGATTATACTACGAGTCTACCACAACGAGTACACAGCATTAAATTGGATATAACACACACATATATACATCTATATATATATATATAACATAACGGATTATATACACAATTTTCTATTTGGATTTTAAACGGATTGCTTTTGAAAATCAATGTAAGTTTCCCCAACCCAACTTGGATATGCATAAAAAACAAAAACAAAAGCAAAAACAGAAACAGAAACGAAAACTAAACAAAAAAAAAACAGTTGTGGAATTTCAACATTTTGTAACGGGACCTTGGCGCTATCAGATATCAGGAAATGCACAATTACCATTTCTACTGATTTGTGGCAGGGTCGTGACAAATGCAAATGTTAATTTATGTCTATACTATATACATTCTTACATACATATATAAACGACTATATATAGTATGCTGTAGTAAACAACAACAGGAAGGATTGTTTTAAAACAATAATCAGAAAACAAGCTAATCATTTAGAATGTTTTTTTTGTTTTTTGTTGTTTTGCTGTTTGCTGCTACATCATTTTATTGCAATTTCAGCATATTATGCCGGATATTCATTAATTTTCTAATTATGCAACTTATTAATTGTTTTCGAGTGTATATCCGACTGTGGCAAGTGTTATTTTCCTTCAATTGTGATATTATGATATTCTATGATATCTGCAGCCAAATAAATCCCCATTTAAGTTACAAAATGGTTGAGCAAATGAGAAATACCCTCCACAGGGGAACAGAGTACAAATTCAACTCGCAATCAAATGTTTAACTGACTTTGCAGTTGCTTGTTGTTTGTCTCGCACCTATTTACCGATCTGCCAGACAGATAATGCGGCATGCACCTAACAAAGATTAGAATGAATATGAACAACAAAAAAAAATAAAAATAAAAACCGAACAAAATGAAAACAGTTTTCTTTACATTTTATATGGCAGCATTATATTGCGATCGGATTGTATTTGGATTGGATTGGATCCGATTCAAAGTCGCTTCGATTCGATTCGATTGTGTTATTTGCTTCATTGTTGCTCCTCCGTCGGCTGCTGATAAGGTGCAAATGAATTTGAACTTCCCATTCACTAAATCTGCCCGTTGTCTCTAATCAGTTTCTCACTCATTTGTTGTGTTGTCAACACACACACACACACACCTGGAGTGGAGCACCGCAGCACTAAAGTCTTTTCACTGGTTTTTTCTGATCGCTCTAATCTAGCCAACTGAGCTAACTGTAAAATCACGTGCTGTCCCATAAACAAACCAAAAAAAGAAACAAAAAAACTACAACAAAAAACAGTTCTATTTACGATTCGATTTCGTCATTGGCACTTCTTTCATTGCATCCGCTCGATAAGCGGTTAAACGCACTTTTTTTTTTATAGTTTTTTTCGTTTAGCTTTTACTTTCTATTTTTTTTGTCGTTGCTTTCAAATTGACACACGCTTAAAATATCAGGAGTGCTGGTAGTTTTTTTTTGTTTTTTTTTTTTGGAGTGGGTTAAGAACTGACGAACGCGACCAACAACAACAACAGCAACCACAGAAAAAATGTCTCTATCGCTCGCACAGCTCAAGAGTCCCAAAAATAAATGAAGAGGCGTTAAAGAAAAAAAAAGTTTTTCAGGCCCGATAAGTTCGTTTGTGGGCATGTTAACATTTTGTTTCCCCCCCAACCCCAACCCCTCACCGCTTCCTTGTTGTTTTTGTATACATTTTGATCGATGGTCTCGACGTTCCACATACGTTTACTTCTGTCGAGCATTATTTTTCTTTTGGCTCGTGACTGCATTTTTTTGTTTTTTTTTTTTTGGTGGAAACGAACTCGATTTCGATTTGGATTTGTATCTGATATGGTTTTGTTTTCGTTCTGATAGCTTAGTGTTTAGCCGTGCCTGAGGGGTTTTCCCCCAACTCCTTTGTTCCCGCCTAACACCTTCTGCTCACCTGTCTGCGAATTTATATTTTTTTCAATGGAATCGTGATTTGCAATAGTTTTTATCAGGCATTTTTTCGCCAGTCGCACTTGGCATTAAATTAAATTTAGGCAGACACACAAACACACGTAAACAAAAATATACATATCTATATATGCATATATATATATATATATATAGATATACACCTATTTATGTCATAGCCAAAAATATAGTAGAGAACAACACACAGAAAAATCGCGCTCTAGCGAAATTCATTCATGAACGTAGCCAAAGGTTCTCCGAGAATATAAATAAATAAATTATATGTTTAAATTTGATTAACCAAATAAATAACAAATAGCAACAACAACAACAACAACAACAGCAAACAGGCATTCAAAGAATTAGCCAAACATTTTGAGAAAAATTTACAATGTCGTTGATGACGCAGTCTCAACAACGTGGGAATGGGCAACCGAAACTGAAACAGAGACTGTGGCAGGGGCACAGAAGGAGGCTGCTGCCTCTGCGGCAGAGACTGAGGCACACAAATACGCAAATTCAGAAAGCAAAGCCAAAAATTGTAATACATGTTACTATAATGCTATAATGCAATATACAAGCGCATGCATATCGAAATAAATAATATATAAATATATATAGATATATTTAAGCAGACGTATATGCAATTAATTTAAGATTTATAGCAATGATATGTGGGTCACTCGAACTGTTTACCAAATAGATTTATTAAGTGGCAACAAAGGTGGAAAACATTAATTATGCCACTTTTTAAATGCCAATGCAAACTTTTTAATATAAAAACAACTTGACTCTGAATTTTAATTGGTGACCTTTTGCATTGGCTGATTGCAGTTCATATTATTGTAATTTATTGTTTAGTAATGTATCCGAAATTAATTTAGTGACCATTTTAGCTTCATTTCAAGAAATAGTCCAATATAAATGAATTTTCATTAACGATCTTTTGGAGCAAACAAATGGCTTTAACAGTTCAAACTAAGATCAACTTGAATATACAGTACAAGTTGTACTTTAGTATAAAATATAAAACTATATCTTCTTCAGATTAAAGTGCAATATAGACTAAAGAAGATATTGAATCAAATACAAAACTAAACTTAATACTAAGTAGCTCTAATTAAATACATTGACGAGGCCGAGAATGTCGATCTCTTCAATATGAAAGCATGCAGTATATATATATATATGTTATATATACATATGCACAAACATACACATATGTATATTCATATGCATATATGTATATATATCTATATCAATATGTAAATAGATGAGCAAAGTACTTTTGCGTTGACGAAAAAGCTGAAATTCTGCGGCTTTTTGCGGTGCCAGCAAAGCAAAGCGAAACGCCAAGTGAAAAGCCAAAAAAGAAAGAGTCAAAAACAAAAACAACAATAACAAAAGCAGAAACAAAATAATAAATACACATACAAACAGACAGACGGACAGACAGACAGACAGACAGACAAACAGACAGACAGACTTAAGAAAGAAAAACCAAAAAAGTCTGAAAACATTTTATGCCGCAAGCAAACATGTGATTTTAATTATTTTTGTCGTCGCAAAATTGTTATTTTTGAAAATTATAATTTTTAAAAATAAACCCCAAACAGCCAACAGCAGCAACAACAACAACAACAACATTGTAGGGCAGTGCAATAGACGATCATGATGCTAATGGTGATGATGATAATGATGATGAATGGCACACTTGCCACCATAAACCAAAAAGTATCTGCAACTTTTACGTAGATTTGTCGATCAATCTTTTTGTTATGTTTCGCATAAAATATATCGCAGTGAAATGCTTTATTTGGTTTATTTTTAAGATTATTTTGAAGACTTCATCTGAATGCTGTTTGGTATTTTTGCAGAGTTGTTGACCAACAATGTGTTAAACATCAGATTTTATTTACATATATTCACTGACACTGGCGAAGTCTTTGCAGAAATCAACTTAACTCTTTAACTGTATAAGCAACAACAAAATTCGATATTTTGAAACACTATGCAATTTTAGAATATTTCTAAAAACTATTTCATAAGAATATGATTTGATAATTTGATTTTTAGCTTGGGCAAAACAAGTTGAATGTGTTTTCTTAGTCATTTCCTGAAATTGCTTTTAAAAGCTATGCTTTACATACGCATCAACCAATTTATTTAATATATACGATACTTTACTATCCAAGCATTCCATTCTATCTATCAGCTATCCATTAGCAAAGCGCCAGTCTTTAGACTACTTTCCCAACCCAACCCAACCCTATCCAACCCCCAATTGTTGGTCTGCCCACGCATTAAGTTCGCTTCCGTTTGTTAGTTTTTGCATGCCCCAAAGCTTAAGCGGCTCCCAGTTTGAGTTCTTCTCTAGTTTTTGTTTTGTTTCGTTTTAGTTTTTTTTTAGTTTTGTTTGCTTCTTTTTTTTCTTCTTTTTCTTGCCTGGCCCACCCAAATGGCAGTTGTCGAGAAGCGCATACAAAATGCTTATTAAGCGCTAACTGCTGAGTATATATTGCGATACAGGCAGATATATCGAGATATATATATATATATTTGTATAAGATACAGAGATGTACATATATAGTATTTGCGTACACAAAACAAATATGTTTCCGAGAATGTCGTCAATGAAATGATAGAAAAATCTAAATAAAAACGAAAAATACGCCCCAAAACTGTCACAGGCAACGAATGAGGAGGCGGCCTTTGATGTCGTCGCTCGTCCCTCGTCTCTCGTCTCTCGTCGCTCGTCGCTCGTCTATGTCTTGGCTGGCAATAAACACAATGGCTGGGCGCAATCTTTGCCACCTGTAGGTGACAACCATTAACCATTATAATGATCCTCATCCACAGCCCACATCCTTATCAAATGCTCCGTCTACACAGCCCAAAAAAATAACCAAATAGCCAAGAAAATGTTGATTCAATTAAGAAAAGAAATGTCTTCATTTGTGTATAAAATATTCAAGAGTTTTAATTGGAAATTTTAAATATTGATTTTTAGTAGATATATTTGAATTTGGTAATTAGTAGATTTATTCGCTTAAATATGAAATCATTTGAATAATAGTTTTACTGCTTATGAATTATTCTGAAATGGGTTTGAACACAAAAAACTATATTTACTCAGCTTGAATATTTTTGCGAATTAACAAATTAACTGCTGAAAACGCTGCATGGCATTTTA